CAATAACAACTTGTAGAGGTTTTTTTTGTCTAAAATATGTTTATACATGTGTAGAAGAGCGTTCATTCATTTACCTGCTCTCAGGGTATAGCCTATTTTCTGTAAAATAGCAGTAAGAACACCATGAGGTATTCACCTTTGGAGACCGTACTAGGAGACATTAACTGCTGTGAGACCACAGGCCAATAGAATTGCTCCTCCCACTTTGTTCCATCTATGCCGTTGCTTCTGATGCCTTTCAGTAGTGTGCCCTATCACAACTCAGAATTTATTTGTGGAATCTAATAAAAGTTGAACTAACAGAAGTAGAGAGAAGATTGGTGATAACTAGGGGCTAAGGGCAAGCAAATGCATTGATCAAAGGGTACCAAGTTCTGTTTAAATAGGAGATATAGGTTCTGGCAAGGTACTATTCAATGTGATGACCATAGTGAACAATAAAGTACTATGCAAATAGCTTCAAAATAGCTAAAAAGTATTGCATTAAAAATATTCTCACCAGAAGGGAGGGCAGGGACAAGGGGAAAAAATGAGAACCAAGACCTGTCATATAAAGGTACAAGATCCCATTGATGAATGTAACTGTATCGTATACCTAGATTGTACCAATTAACTCAATAAAAAGAAAAAAAATATTATCAGCAAAGAAACGTAAGTATCCAATATGATAAGTTATTAATATGTTAATTAATCTGGCTTGAGCATTCCACAATATATTCAACGTATTGAAACAATGCATTGTTCTCCATAAATATATACAATTATTATTTTGTCAGTTAAAATTTAAGCAAAACTTGGGGAAAATCCTGTGTACTAAGTACAGCCAACTTTATTTATCTGATATGTTCTAATAATCTCCAACAATGTTTCTGTCTAAGACTACAATAATGGCTCAGCAAAGTTGGCAGTTGCCTGCTACTTTGGAAACATTCAGGCATGGGAAAGCTTGACTTCCATTCTTCTAATATATTTTTCAGAGATCAGAAGTACTTAAGATACAATTTTGGTTATTCTAGAATAAGAATTTAACTGCAAATTATGCTGTTGCCCTAGTAAGGAAACCTAAACATGTAGTCAGTCATCCCTTGAGTTTTGAGATTCAGGTAAAGCTTGAAAAAAATCCAATTCTAGATGCAAGATAGCTTGAGCTTCCCCACAAGTCTTATACCTGACTTTCTCAACTTTTAAATCTACTCTACAGTATTTCCCAGTTTTTCTACTCTTGGGAATCAGTGAGCTTTCCTTTAAAGATTAGTAAGAAATTTAGATGTCTTCACATTTACAATAGTCAGCATTTTTCCTGAAGATTCATTAAGTGAAGAGAAGACACATAATGAAATGTCACAGTTCCATCTCTTACCAGCAAAATTCACTCTGGTTTCTTCATCCAAAATCCATGCAGTACTACCAAATGGAGTACCCTTTCTCAGACAGTTTTTCTCTACATATAGCTGTGTGAAGGGACGCCCTGTTCTTTATGAAGGATGCTTTGCTTGCTGGAAGAAACCACAAAATACTGATCTGTTTTTCCTCCAAACCAGTTAAACTGCTGATGAATTCTGTAATGGTAGTAAGAAATACTCCTCAGTGGGAGAAAAAGAATATTATCTGATTCTCTTTTCCTAGACACACACACACACACACACACACACACACACACTCCAACGTTTCTAGTGGATTAAACTGTAGTGTACCTTCTTCTCACAAAACCATATATCAGAGGGGATTCAGTCCTTATTGTTATTAAATATTCAAAAATATGAGGCTCTGTGTTTTTTATTTGCATTTCCTCTAACTTCTTTCTCCACAAAGTCATCAGATGGCTGCAGCAGTTCCCAACATCATGCCATAGTTAAAATAATATGCAAAACAAGATGAAAAGAAGAAAGAATTTCTCTTTGTGAATCTCTCTGATATTATCAGAAAGGGATATTTTTCAGATAATCTTAGCAGCCATTTCCTTTGTTCTCAGTTCCCTTAATTGATTCTTATCTCCAAATTGAACGTGGAAGAGAAAAAGAGACATTTAATGAAGAGCCTGGCACTTAAAATCTTTCTTGTGAGAGGAAAATTCTGTAGTTAAGTCATTTTGATAAAGCAAACAAATGTCCGTTTTATGCCATCATGTGACTATACCTCTTTTATCTATTCTCTAACTGATGTCCATTTACATGGTTTCCAGTTCTTTGGTATTATAAACACTTCTGAAATAACTAGACTTGTCAATTTTCCCTTTGTTATAGATGTGTAAGATTTTTCTCTGTAATATACAACATATTCCTAGAAGTAATAGCTGTGAAGTTAAGCTCTATAAACTTTAAATATGATGAAATTATTTTTCAACATAACTATATTAATTTACATTCCTCCCAGCAGTGCATAAAGCCTTCTATTTTTCACATATGTTGTCTAGATTTGATATTGTCCATGTTTTTTGCTATGTGAAGGCTGAAAAATGTTTTCTCAGTATTGTCTGTTTTATAATTACTAGTGAGATTAAATATCACTTTGTCAAATTATTAGTTAATATCATTTACCCTGTCATTTATTGCCTGTTCTTAATTTTCCTATTTTCAATATTTTTATGAAATAGCCATGCACACATATATATACACATGTATCTATACACATATATAATGTATATCAGCAAAAAAGACTAATATCTCAAACTATGTGTGTACAAAATTTTCTTAGTAATAGTAAAATCCAGAATTAGACAAACAACTCTTATTAGATTTTCAAATGAGAAAAATTAGAGTGCCACCCCAGGGAAAAGTAAATAAAGTAGTAGAGGAGTCTAAGAATATGCTCAGGGAAACCAGAAATAAGGAGAGATTACTCCTCTAACAGTGAAGATAGTGACATCCAAGACTAGAGACTGACATTTCTGTTCCCAAGCAACCTTTGGGTTGGGAAATAAGCTCAGGACCTTCACTCCTGTCTGGTGTCTGTGAAGGGGAAAGAGACCTGGCACAATGACAAAGTGAATATAGCACACAGCCTGGACAGCCTGCCCTCCCACCCTTTTGTCTGGCAGGAAAGCCTGGGTTCGCCATAGTTCAAGAGTTCACCATAAAGTAGTAGGACTTCAGTCATTTGCCCAATGCCTGACCAGCCATCACTGGCTAGTGGGTAACCATTTCCAGGCTGATGAGAGCAAAGGCTAAGGGTAGAAGCTGAAGAAGATGTGAAGGGGGCAAGCCAGAGTCAGGGGTCACTGCAGAGATCGCTCTGCAGGGTTTAGAGGCACATACAATAGAAGAGATGGTACTTGAACTCCTAGCCTCAGAGAACACCCAGTCCCAGCTCTAGCCCAATCGGTACATCCCACCCTCAAACTTCCTAAAAGAGTGTCGTTTAATGGCCACTGCCATATGGGGGTGGCCCTGTATGTTGGAATGGTTACAGTTCATCTCTCCAGATGTAGGCCAGCCTATGAGGAGCTGTTTGAGACAGACTCTCACTCCTGGTCAAACTTGCGGCTAGTGTCTAGTCCTGAGTCCCGTAGCATGGTGGCTGTGTTTGAAGGATCCCTTAGAGCGTTAGAGCATCACCGGCATTACAAGTTTACTCCAAAAAGACAGTGTTTGTAGTGTACATGGAACATAAGGCAGACATTTAAGCTATCATTGCATATTTTACTAAACAATAGTTTATATTTCATTCCTTCTTATGTCTGGATATATCTCAACCAATTAATCTTTTGATCAGAGGATACTATTTCATTGTCTCTTTTTTTATTTCCTATTTCTTGAATTTTATTAAGAATGCAAAGCAGATGCTTTTTAATTTTCATTCCGTTTTCTAGTAGAAGTTTTAAAGCTATTGCTTTCCTTTGCACCATAGGTTAAGGGGTGTTTTTATTTCATTTTCAAGAATTCTAATCTTCATATTAAACTGTTCCTGTTTTTACTTCTTTGAATGAATGTCCACACAGGCTTGGAGTTTATCACATGCATGGTCGGTAATTTTTACTCTGTCTCCTTCACCAGGTAATAATTACTAGAATTCACCTCTCACTTTGGAAGCCACTAATTAGATATTTACTATTTGGAATACTTGTCCTGAACCAAAGAAAAAGGTGTTCCTTCTCTAACCCGCCTGTATAGCTCTGAAGCAATGCCTACTATTTAGAAGTGCTTTACTGGTATTAAAAGGCCTCTCTCTCAACTTATCTGTAAGAAATGACAAAAGTAACCAAGCTATGAAAAGAGAGAAAAAACCAGTGATATTGATAGAACAAAAACAATTTCCAAAAATGTATAGAGCATATGCTCAAGGCATTTAAATTGGCAGAAAAGCAGTATCTATGGACAATTTGTCTTCAAAGAAGAGTGCAGCGATTTATTTGGAGTTTGAGTCTCTGAATTGGGGAATTCAGTGGACAATTATTAGGGTGAACTGCATTGGATGAGGATACTTGCCTTGGATTCCAGCCATTTTGTTTGTGGAATCTCAGACAAAAGACTTTGTTATCATTTTTATTTACCTTCACACTTTGGTCATAGTGTCCTCTAGCAGCTGCTGAGAAAGCTGGTAACACAGGGCTTTCTGAGGTTAGCTTTCAACAGAACAGAAGCATTCCCAGGACATGAACGGGAAGTGAAGGATTTGTCTTTACTGTGGCTCGAATTTTAGGTTAAAAAAGATATTATTTAAAGAAGACAGGGAAATAAACTAAAAAGGATAAAAAAGGAAATAAGTACCATGGTTATGATGTAAGTATGCCTTTATGGAAATAATCAAATCATCTTAGGAGAAAGAATCCACATTCAAAAAATATTTTTCTTTATCCAGATGTAGTAACAAAGCATCAAGCAAAGCATAACCAAATCCTATAGATAGGAAAATGACAGTCAAAAATGAGCTGTAGAACATTTGCATCCAGAAGGATGTGCTTTCATTTACTGGACAGTGGTGGGAACAGAAACCTATTTCCCAACTACAGATTGATGCAGAGCTTCTAATTCTTTTCCAGAAACGTACTTCAGAATAGAAGGATGGTACTTAAACAACTCACTATCTTTTTCATCATCATCTATGTGCTTGAGTCCTTGATAATAATTGCACAGAGCAGCTTCACTGTTGCAGTTCTGGGCAGAGAGTGGGTTCTGGTCAAAAGACTGTCACCTGTGGAAATGATTCTCACCAGCCTGGGCATCTGTCGTTTCTGTCAACAGTGGTCATCAATACTGCACAATTTTTGCTCCTATTTTAACCTTAATTGTGGGATATGGAACACAGGCATCATCTGGGAATTCACTAATACCCTTACATTCTGGTTGACCAGCTTGCTTGCTGTCTTCTACTGTGTCAAGGTCTCTTCGATCAACCATCCCATCTTCTTCTGGCTGAGGTGGAGAATTTTGAGATTTGTTCCCTGGTTATTACTGAGTGTTCTGGTGATTTCTTGTGTGGCGATTATCCCTTCAGCTATTAAGAATCGCATCCAGATGGAATTTAACCTCATGGAGCATTTACCCACAAACAGCACTTTGATTGAGAGACTTAAAATGTTTGAGCAGTATTTTTCCAAGGCTCATAAAATAGTTGTATTGACGATTCCCTTTCTCCTGTTTCTGGTCTCCACCACCATGCTGATGGCCTCTCTGATCCAGCACTGGAAACAAATGAAACTGCATAACACTGGCCTCTCTAACTCCAACCTGAGAGCTCACTCTACCGCCCTAAGGTCTCTTGCTGTCTTCTTTATCTTCTTCACTGCTTACTTTCTGACTGTAGTACCCAGCATTTTAGGCATTAGATCTAAGAGAACACCTTGGTACTGGGTTTGGGATTCCATCATCTACGGAATAGTCTGTATTCATTTCACTGCACTGATGCTGAGGAGCCCTACACTGAAGAGGGCTCTAAAGATAAAGTTCTGGGGCCTAGAGTCTGTCTGAAGCACAAGGTACATCAAGAGTCCTGGGCAAATGGAAGTATGCCCTGGTACAAATTAATACTAATAACCAGCATCACTATGTAACATTCTTAATGTGAACTTTATTCTCTTTCATCCCTTCTGCTTTCTTTCTCTAAATGTTTAACCTTTTCTCTACTTCTTTCCATTTCTTTCTTTCCCTTCCACAAGGCCCAGGTTGGTCCTGGCTTTCTCTCTGTCTCCTCATTCTCCTTAGTGTTGGCCAACTCTGGAATCTGACTTCTAATACATTCTACACTTAACTGTCAAAATCTTGGTGTCCACATATCATTTTACCCTTGTTGTGACTACTGATTATTTCATAGTTTAATATGAATGCCTTTCCCAGAAGAATTTGTTGCCCATACCCTGAATACTCTCTATGCCAACCCCTTAATTCATTTTCTCAGCTTCAGTTGAGAAAAGGTCTTGCCATTGAGGTAGCATTCTCTCATATGCTCTCACAATTCTGGAACTTTATCTAATGACACAAATTCTTTGTTTCTATTGCGAATATTGTGCTTTCAGTCTTTAAAACTCAACTCAAATTTGTACTCTTTTTTTCTTTTTTGGTACTAGGGATCAGACTCGGGACCTTGAACTTGCAAGGCAGGCATTGACACCACTGAGCTAAATCCCTGGTCCCTAGACTCATATTTAATAACTCTCCAAATACTTATGATTCTGTTATTAATAACACAGCATTTATAATGGCTTGATAATTGACTCTATTTTACTATAAATTAGAGTAAAATCTCTAGAACGCTTCCTTTCTCATATTGAAACATAACTGGGGATTTTGCCATACAGAAAAAAAGAGATAGCTTCCTAATGTTTGAGTGACACTGGTTTAAATTTTCTGTACTTTTTTATTTTGTGCTTTATGAGTGCCCAAAGTCCTCCCCAAATGAATAAGAATATAAATAAGAATGTACAGTAATCAACTTTAAAATCACCAATAAGACATTACTGTTTTTAACAAATGCTTTCCATCTCCCCAGTCCAACAGGTTTTTTCACACTTTTGCAAGATCTAGTCTCACCTTCTTCCCATAGCATCTCTTTATTTCTCTCCCTTTACCCTCACCTATTAGCAACCAAACATCTTGGTAAGGGTCGACTTCCAGGTATTTCAGTCTGTTATCCCAGAAACTTATCAAGGCTTTTTTTTTTTCTAAAGATAATTATGTCTTAGCCAGGGATTTAGCTCAGAGATTCGGTGGCCTGCCTCGCAAGCGCAAGGACCCGAGTTCAATCCCCGGTAGCCCCCCCAAAAAATAATAATAATAATTATGTCTTACAACATTCTGGTGCAAGAGGTGGAGAATATAACTTTCCCACCTTTTATACATATTGAGTATGTCTGATAAAATGAGCTTCTGGCTCTCCCATTAGAAGACTGAAACATCTCAAAGCAAACCACCTTACAGAAAAAAAGATATAGGTAATTCAAGTTTGATTGTGAAGAAAATCTTGGTTCCTGCAAAGGGATGGATGTTATGATTTGACCTCAGTTGGATCACTCTGATTTGTTTCCACATTGAACTCATCCTTTAAACTGAGGGCATGAATAGAAGTAAAAATCAAAGGTTATTTTTGCCAAAGACTGTGTGACATCTGGCTCATCTCTGCAGCAACCTACTACTGTATAGAAAGGAGCATGAGCTGGATTATCACACTTTACAGCAGCGCTCTACAGCATCTCCTGAACTCCAGAAGTTCGACTGCACTAGAAGGTAGCGTCCAAACTGATAGATGCTCTCATGTCTGGTAAGCATAGTCTTAAGTGACACAGAAAAAAGAAAGGGAGACAAAAGTATGTGTTGATATTGATATCATTTGATCTGACTAGGGAATCCTAGAAAAGAGGATGGGGGGAGGTGGATTGCATGGGTTTGGGATCCTGTTGGAACAGTTTGTGCTAAAGCCAGTAAAATATGCATTATTGCTACTTGTCATTGGTATCAATATCCAGAAGGGGTCTTGCAGTTTCTGAAGTCTCAAATAGTTGGGAAAAACAGGGACCTTTATTATCATATGTATGTAAATAGAGAACAGGATAAAACAGTGCCCCATTTCACCCGTTATCATATACAATACACAGATACACTTCAGAAACTGTTAAGCAGTTGTAGTTTTTTCATTGTCTTCTTTGTAATAAAGTGCAATAGAAGACTTATGTATGATATGCATGAGGTGGGGCGTATTAGAAGCAGCTGAAAGGGCCCAGAAATAAGAAAAAAATAAATAAAAAGAAGCAGAAATAATTACCATACATATTTGTGTTATCTACTAGTTCACAAAGAAATTTTACATACAATATCTCATTTTAAACAGAAAAGACTGGTCAAAATCACCTGATCCAGGCTAGATGGAAAACAGACTTAAGAAAGAAAGATGATTTATTTAAAGTCACACTGCTAAAAGGAGAGAAAACCTCATGAGATAAGCTTTAAGGACACAATGAGCTTTAATTTGTAAAAATACTGGTGATAAAGAGGAGATTTTTAAGAAAAAAATATCAGAGAGGTAGTGACCAAGAACAAGGGAATTCTTTGGATAGCTTCTGTTTGCTGGATATAAAAGTAAGACACCATGGGACTAATAGATTTGTTTTGTCTGAGTTATATATATAACCATTATGCCCAACATAGACTATGTTGCCTGACCACTCACATCAGAGAACAGAGAAGTAGCTGTGAATTTAAGAAGAACCCTATGAGTGCTGAGTCCATACACTGTATACACACACACACACACACACACACACACACACACACACACACACACCATGTATAACTCCAAATCACTGGCAACTGGAAAGCAGACCTTTCACCTTTTATACAGTGCCCCATGATCTTAAAACCTATATTGTGACTATGAGGAGGTGGGCAACAAAGGTAAGTTCCCAGTGACACCTGGCATGGGGGTTTGTTCCTAATCAGATACCACAGATTTGATTCACTGGGTGGTACTCTCTTCGTCACCCCCTTCCTACCATGCAAAGTACATGGGTTCAAAAACTTCAGTTGCATCTTTTTGAGACTGGTATTAAAGACTCCAAGGCCTGACTCTGATCTATCTGCCCAGGTTTAAGTCCCCAAAAATCTCCTATATAAATCTATTTGCATCAGACATATCCCTTCATTGTTTCCTGAACATTCATGCATACTCTGGTTACTCTTTGGATCATATAAATATTTCACCTTTTGCTGAACATTCAGGCATAGGATATTTGAATTTACATTGGGTAGATCAACATATAGAATAAATACTCTTCACATCTGCTGATGCCACTGCCTTTCTTTTTCTGTATTTCCTCTTTAACCATATGCCTAAATTCCCTCTACCTTTCATTATTTGGTACCAACTTAGCTACTTGCACAAATGCCAAACCCATCACTGACTTTTGCACCTCCAGGTAATGTATTTCCTGCAGCATCAACTGTCTCAAACACCAAATTTAAGTTGTTTCTCATTATTAAATTTCTCTATCTCTTGCCTTTGCCTTCATAATGTAGTTTTCTACACACAAGAATTCATTTATTACTGTTAAATGACATTCAGATAATGAGTAACATTCCTGAATTCCGGTATTTGTAAATGCAAAACATCTTATTCATTCAATAAATATTTACTATCAGCCTACTGTATACTGCTGGAAACACAATGATGGCCTGGCAGCTTGATGAATGTGTGTTCCTTCTGGGAAGTGAAATTTTTGCTTGTGGGCTGTGTTACCCATGGTAGGTCCAGTTAGATCAGCTATGAACACTCTTATTTCAAGAAGCCCTGGTAGAAAAATAGCTATGGATATTCTACAGTGGGTTAAGAGCTGAGAGGCTTTTAGCAGGTAAGTGCTTTTCTCTTACAAAAGAATAAAGCGCAGATATCTTCTCAGGATTCTGGAAACAAGAAACAGCCAATATTTAGACTTCTTCTCTGATAGAGGTACAATGACCAAATTACAACAGTACCAAACAAGATGTTGGTCTTTTTCTTTTAATTTCTTCCACACCCTCCTCCCTCAACTTAATGATCTTACGACAGTTAGAAGAAAAAAGATGTGGTAGGGCATTGAAAAAATTGACCTCTACTTTCTTCCTTGCTGATCACAAACCTCTATATCAACTCAGAGAGAGGAAAGAAGATTCAATTGGATTTGAGATTTATGTTTTGATTTAGACTCTAAAACCTGAAAATGAGAACATTCTTGGAAACCCATGGGACCTAAAATGCCACTGAGGGTTGGGGAAGGGTGATCTGGGGAATTTGTTTAAAATTAGGACTTGGAACAAAACTGTTTTTTTGAGTCCAAATTATTTAATAAATTTTACGACAGTCATAGGAGACAGTAAAATATGAAAAGCCTTTTCATTTTTCTCTGATATTGCTTTTGCATGGTATACATTTCTTTCTATTTACAAAAGAATCCCAAGATAATTTTCTTTCTCAAGGGATCTAAGCAAAGACTAAAGCAAAGGCCTCCCTCTGATGATTGCAGTTTCTTTGACACCACAGCCATCATGACTGCATCCACCTGAATCCTGACAAAACAACATGAAATTTCGCCACTTGATCATAAAACTTGTCCCTGCCTAGAGGAGAACACTTGACAAAGGAGTCCATTCTTTCTCCATTCTGGCGCTTATGTTTATATAGGAGCAATGGCATTTTTCCTTGTTTTTCTTAGATTCTTATAAATTATGGCAAATCAATTTCAAAATTCATCTTGTTATAAAGAAGACTGAGTAAAAGAGGAAGAAAAAATACTGTGGATAACATCAAAACAATAAAACATTCATGACATAACTACAATTATAAACCAATTTTTAAAAATTGTTCAGACCTATTTTTGTTCCAAAAATGCATATTTGGGGAGAGAATTTTGGGAATGTTTTCTGTGAAGTCTAGAAGAACATGTACTTACAATCAATGTGACTTGGAATAATGCCAAATTGCTTTTTAACAGGAGGGGGAAATA